CAGCATGTCATCAACAGAATTTTTGCCGTCCGTGGCCAGGATTATAATAATTACAAGAGCTTAGTGCCAGAGATCTCGTCCATTTTCACATGCTCCCATGGTTTGTTGAAAAGACACCAGATTTTAAATTTTTCGCCAGTAGTGCGTTTTCCTTTTTTTTTTTTTTACTAGGGAATCATAGGAAATTAGGGTTTTTATTTTAGCTCTCGTGGTCGCGAGATCACCACAAATCCAACTCTTTGTCATCCTCCTCACCTACCTCCTCGTCCTCACCTAGTATATTTACTAACCTCCCCACGCGATCAGATGTGGTACAAAGTCGAGTTTAATGTGGGTCATCCGAGACCGTAACCTCAGCCAAAAATTCCCGTAGAACCCGTGTAAAACGGGAACGGGTGGCTGTTTCCCGAGACGAGATTCTGCCTCTCGGCATAGCCTCGTCTGGGGATCCTCTCTGCTCAGAGGCAGAGAGTTCGACCAGCACAGCTGAAAAAGATTTCAGCTAGACATAGTGATTTTCTAAGCGCGGTTTAGATGTGGCCCAGTGTGGATCGAAATCACTACTCAATCGTAACTGATCTAGCAAGACAAGCTTTCTAAACATTTCACCACGTCAAGGTGCCCGTCTCGTCCTCGGCTATAGTTTAAATAGAAGGGCAAACAGGACTCATTTTCCTTGGATAGCAGCCTAACGAATAGAAGGTCTACTCTGAATTAAGAATTGTGAAGAAGTCAACGCAAACCACTCCACTATATTCCCGAATAAAACATAACAATACTAACCTATAAACAAAGACACGATTACCAATGATCCCTCTATAAAGAGACATTTTTCCTTATTCCATTTTAGTTGAATAATGCAGAAATATCTGTCTTTATTTCTGGAATGAGGAGTTATCGTTATTTAAATTATTTACATGTGGGCTATTTCATCGTCGTTCTTTTTCTACAACTCTTTATTGTTATCACAACGAACCAAATCATCCTTCTAGGCAATTGGCAACTAACCTATTGCTCACCCGATTTAAAGCATTGGATTTTGTTGATATAGAAATTGTGAGTTCAATCTCTGGGCCGGGTAGTGTAGACTTGGACTTGGTGAAAACAGGACGAGCAATGACTGAGCAGTACACCTGTTGAAGGCCGGGGGCGGGGGAGTTACAACGGCCGAAATGTTGTGATAACAACAACAAAAATGAGGATGGTAGACCGTTTTATGTTCGCGCCATATTCAAGCTTCTCAGATGTGTCTGTCTTGGTGGACCTAGTGGGATTATTTCATACTTCGTTAAACTTATTTTTAAATAACATGCGCTTCAAGACGTAAGCAATCATGGCTCTCTACATACTGAATTTTTTTTATTATCTGTGATTTGACATGGCTTCTTGTTAAAAGTAATGTAGTGTTTTCCTATTGCTTTTTTCACGATTTCGAATTCAAAGTCGTCTTTCTCTTGGACTGGCTAGCATTCAAAACTAGAGAACACTTGGCGATTTCCTTCAGGATGTAGGCAATAATGACATCCTAGATTTGCAGGAACCGGTTCTCTAAAGGCAGATACTATTTTAGAATCTATTTTGCTTATTTTCTTTTTAATCTGTGAATGGAATCAAATCACTTTATATCGATTAAAAAGAATTAAACCATTTTCATAACTTAATTTATGTTTTAACATAGTTCCAGACTGAAATTCTGTTCTCATCCTATTTTTGTTCGGAATTCTGATGCTTTTTTGACTCTTGAGTCATCATCAGTGTTATGGTTTCTTAGCCACATTCGAACTGAATCGCTCCATAGATCCAATACAAAACCTAACAAAATTTATGACTAGAAGATTTGCCACATTTTTAAGTTCAAGACGGTTTCTTTTGTCAGAATAAATTATGTTCATCACAGAAAACTTTCATTCAGCCTCCGCAGAACTTACAACAATGGTATTAATTATAGTTTTACCTATTATATATCGGCTATTAATATATAAGATTATTTTCGGATAATCTAAAAACCTGTTCGTTAAGCTTTTATAATTTTAGGAATCAGTTCGCAGAAACCTGTAAGATGCCACCATTTGATGTAGGTGATCATGTCTCACAACAGATTCCTTTTCTTTATCATCTGTGAAATGGCATTACTTCTTAGGAAAGATAGCGGAGTTTTTGTGGCATTGTTTACTCAATATAATCGCTAAGTGCTACTCAGAATAGAGCGTTACTGAACGGTGTTTTTTTATGGACGTAAGAATTGTAGACACATGGCACAGTAGATAAAGGCGTTAGTTGATCCAGTGACAGGACCCAAAGAGTGTGAGTTCAATACCCGGTTAAGGCAGTGGAGAACTTTCCGAGGGAAAATTAACAAGAGATAACTGATAACTGACATCCATTAAACATGGCACGTGGAACTAGAACAGTCTACTCCAGTGAGCGAAATAAAGGGTTCAGTTCGACATTCCAACCACCTGAAGAAGGCCGGAGCGTACAGCGGCCGAAACGCTGTAAT